GTAATTTTCAGATCAGTTCTCTACATTTCTCGTTGTTTTCTCCTTTTCTTTGTCTCACGCACTGTGTAATACATAGTCTCTGTAGACTCTGAGTATTATTTTCTGTAATGTCTACCAAAGGGTAAACTACTTAAAGTGCAGCATAATCTTACCAAGCCTCACTTCTTCATTTTTAAGAAGTATATGTGAAGATAACTAAACAGTATGGCACTTGGGGCCTATTCATAACTTAATCAGGTAGTTTCAAATTTTAAACACATTATTCCAACAGCAGCTCGTACAGATAGTCACTAACCATTAGGGAAAACATACATCCCTTTTTCTGCCACCAACCACATTCTCTTTGCTTTATGGATCCATGGAGAAATTCTGGCTGTAGGCACTTGTTCCTGTCATATAGTTTAAACTATTCTCTGCCAGCAGCTCGAAGGCTGTATGCAGAACATCAGATCTTGAGAAGTAAGAGCTCCTGGGGTGCTCAGAGGGAGGTCCTCCTGCTTACTACTCCTCAAGAGATCCACGAAGGATGCGGAAGGATATTTCACACACAAAAGCAGCATCAGCCCAATAGCAAAGATTGCTCTACCTGTGGGTGCTCTTTAGAAATATTTTTATTTCATTCTTTTGACCATTATTTTGAAGACTTAGATTGTTTCCAAATGCATCTACAAATGCATTTCATACCAACTTCAAACAGCATGTTGGGATAAAACTGTGACCCCACATTTGTCTCTGCTTTCCAATCTCCCATTCTGAAAGACAGCTTTTAATTTTTCATTAAGAGTCCAGATACTTGAACTCTAAAGAGTCAGTACTCATGATTTGAGTTGAAAGAAAATTACTACTGCAAGCTGGCCTTGCAAATCCACTAAGCCATTTGCTTTGGCAGGGGGGTTGGACTCAATGATCTCTGGAGGTCCCTTCCAACCCCTACAATTCTGTGATTCTGTGATTCTGCCTGCTGTAGTACTTGTGCACAGCCTATCTTTGTCCATCTTACATGGCAGCAAGCATACACCAAATTACATAAATACATACATACAGTTTATTCACTTTTTCACTCACTCCTTTCAAGTCTATACTTTGCATGTGCTACTTAGGTATAGCTCCTAGTATAACTGCCCAGGGCCCCATCCAACCTGGCCTTGAGCACCTCAAGGGATGGGGCACCATAGCTTCTATGAACAGCTGAGCCAGGGTCTCACCGCCCTGTGTGAAAATTTTTCTCCTAACATCAAACCTAAATCTCTCATCTCTTAATTTAAAGCCATTTCCCCTAGTCCTATCGCTATGAGACTGTATAAAAAGTTGGTTCCCTTCAAACATGAGGCAAGACATTAGACCATTTTAAAAATCATGTCTAATTTCCCTTTCTCGTGAGCCATGTTGTTTGGTTGTGGTAGCTATTGAACAGTACATGCTTACAGCTTTGAATGTTGATTTCTATACAAGATAATTATGCTATAATCAGGTATAGAAGACAGTATTCCAGAGGGAAAAAAATTGCATATAAAGAATCCTGGAAGATAGCACTGTTTTTTTTGTTTTGTTTTGTTTCTTTGTTTTTGTTTTTGTTTTTTAATTAATTGCTGCCTGTGGCCAGTTCCTTTCTGCTCTGCATTAGTGGTAAAACATGAATATTTTCTTACAAAACAGTGCTTATTTGAAAACAGTTTTATGTTACTCATCGGGTTTAACTGTACGTTTGATGCTCTTAACAGCTGGACATTTACTGCATAGTTCTAAAATTTACCATGAACAAGACTGTAGGCATAACTCAAACTACAACAAGCAAAATAAGACACATTTAAGAGCCATATTAACCACATTTTTCTGTCCCAGAATATACATTTCTAAATCTTGTTCTCAACTTTGACTCTCTTTATAACTGTCCTTCAGCACAGTCACTAAGTATGATTTGCAGTGCTGAAAACAATTATCTACATTTTATCTGTTTTTCTCAGGAGCACAGAAATGTGGCATCTTTCTAGAGAGTAAGCCTGCAAACACAGAGCACGCTGAAGAGAAAATAATGCTGAACATCACCTGGCAACATGCTTAACAGTAACAACATTTGCTTAAATATGTAGAAACATTTCCTGATAACAATCTGTCTGGAGTGACCCTTTACCTATAAGTAGACCTGAAAATGTACCCTTTCAATTGCAAATATGTTAGTCATCACTGTGGAAGAATCATTAATCTTAATAACAGGAAACTTACAGACTAACTCAACCAGCTTCCCTGGCCACCAATCTGTTGCTCCATATGTCTAAATCTAAAGCAGAGAAGTACCTGAGAGCAAAGGATGTATTTTGTGCCTTGAGACATCTGCCCCAGCTAGGACTCTGCTCTGCCTTCTGAAATTCCTTCACCCACAGGTAAGATTCCAAGGAGGATGCTAGCAAAGTTATTCAGTTGCTCCTGTTGATGGGAAAATGTGGAACAGCAGTTTTATAGAGGTCTTACAGACTGGAAGTATTCCCTCAAAGCCAATCAATATCCAGAGAGACGGTGGAGTACATGAGCCAGGAGAAGCTACTACAAAGCAACTGTGGCACTGTTGACGAACCCCATAGTGCCTTGACTTACTTGTTGAGAATGAAGATGTGACAAATGTTTAAAGGAACACTGAGACACAGCAGTTGAGGACTGTCAAGCCATTTGACTCGTTTTTTGTTGTTTTTTTTTTTTTTTTTCACAGCACCAAATTTAGGTCTAGACAAGTGACTGCCTTGGAAGTGGGTAGGAGTTGTAGTTACACACATTCATGTAGCAACTGAGAGTGCTGGTTTGTGCATGTGGTTGGCTGGCACTAAAAGGTCTGCTTGGCTCAGAAATACAGATCATGCTTTGCTTCTTTCCCAGAAAAATTCTTTTAAACGCATGCTTTCTGCATCTAAAACATTGATGAAAGCAACTTTTGATCCTGTAATGGATTGGGCTTAAGGCCAATCTTCAGTGAAGTTTGACCCCCTTAATGCAACAGATGTTTAAAGATGCCTCAGGCAAAGTCTGGAAGGAAGGCCAACTGTTAGTCAGAGAGCAGCCCCAGACCAAAAGAAAAGTCCAGCTGGCAACTCATTTTAGAAGGGAGGGGTTTTTTTGTTTGTTTTGTTTTTTGACAACTGTTGTCTAAAGAGAGAAAAGCTCTTAGTATTACCTCTACTTGGAGACTCCTACATTGAGTAGAAAGAATAGTAGAGGTAAGATATTCTTCACTAAGTTAGATGAGACAACTTGGAGTAGAAGTTATGTGATACTCTGGATGCTTTTTTGAGTACTGGCAGGAAATGTGCACCAGAGAGCCAGCAAGGGCGTGAAGCCAAATATTTTCTGGACTGTATTTTGTGTGGACCATGAACCTTATTCCCCTGACTAAAATTGCATCTCCACCTGTGTATACAGATGAGCTGCCCTCCTCAAATCTTTTTCTCCTGCAGTAGATAGAAAATCTTTCTTACTTTCAACTCGTTGCAAGACTGAGATCTCAAAGAAAAATTTGAATGTATATTTACTTTTTATTAAAAACATATTATGAATATATGTGTATGAATGCTGTCATATTTATGTGAATACATAGTACAGAAACATATAATTTGCAATATAAATATATTAAAAATTATAATTTTTTATTGAGATTAAAAAAACAGCAAAAATTCAGACATCTTTGATATGGTTTTCAGGTTATCTTTATGCAGCCCCTTTATTACTTTCAGACTTCCTTGGAAAACAATAATTAAAGTTACTGCAGACCACGATTTCTAATACTCAATTGACTTCTTCCCTCTCTCTGTCCCCTTGCAACACTCTCTATGCTTTTTAACTTTCTTCTGTCTTCCAAAAACTACTGGGGCTACACAGCCCTTAAAAATGTGCTTTACTTGTTTAGATCATAAAGTGATGGTGGGCACACCTTACATTCTTTGTTTGAATCACTTCTGTATATTCCTATTCGTTCTTTCTGTAATCAGACCAGACAGAATATTTTCTGGGGCACTGTTTACTGAAAAATATACATATCCTTCACACAATTGTTCCAGTACCTGAGTGTTTATAGGGATGTGTTGAGCCAAGTGGTGTGGTGTTTTTGAGAAGCACTGGCATGTATGGAAACTTTTTTACATATAAAGAAAGGGGTAGAAATCCCTGTACTGCAGCTGTCCCTGGGGAAGGTCATGATTGGTTTGAAAGATGAATGGAAAGAAAGAAGACAGATAAATGTGTTCTTCCACATTTCAGAAAAGCTTGTGAGAAACTCCAATAAGCCTTACGAAAGTATTATTTGATAACTTCCAATGAATATAAAACTACATAGTTTGGGTATGCAGAAATTTCTTCAGAAAACATGAATCCCTGTGAAATCTAAAATGACAAAGCTACTTAAGGCATTCTTTGTGTTAAATGAAATATATTCTTCAAGAATCGCTCAAAAAGTAAAGCCTCCCATTTTATGATGTTGGTCTACAACATCAGAGGTAGATGTTGGTGGTATGGCTGTATGGGCTGAACCTTCCAGCCAAGATTCCATTGCATTTTGTTGCCATGCAACAGATGACAGCAGAGGGGCAGTCTGACAAAACTGCATCTGACATGCAATCTACAATGCAGATGGAGCAAAGGTATGTCACTGAATTCCTCCATGAGGAAAAAACAGCACCCACTGACATTCATTGATAAAGATATAAGAAATGCTAAAGCACTGCTACAGCTCAGGAAGGAGACCTTGGAGTCATTGCTGTAAGTTCTCTAAAACCATTGACTTGATGTGTAACAGCAGCCAGAAAAGCCAACAAAACATTGGGCATCATTAGGAAAACTATTGGGAGGTATATGCAGGCTGCCCACTACAGAAAGTGGCAGTCATGCTCTCTCTGAGGAGCAGACCCTAATTTTAAAACCTCTAGACATTTCCTACCTTCTTAGTAAATAATGTAGTAAAGGGTAGTAGGGAAATCTCATTAAAAACAGTGTATAAGTTGAAAACAAGTGGGCACTTTGTTTATTCCATAATCAACCAAATGTAATCAAAAACAGAAATTGTTAATGTATTCCAAATTCATGGAAATCATTATGAATGTGATAAGTAGGTCATCCAGCCCAGACATGAGCCTACCCACTAGGGAGGATAACATCAGGAGAAGTATTTGTCAGTTAATGCCTGGAGACAGGAAGAGATTCTTTCTGCGTATAATCTGTTCTTCACAGTATGACTTGCATTGGTTTGTTTGTTTTCTGTCACAGTTATTCTCTTGCCTACGTAGAAGAAGAGAATTTATTCACAGTGTATTGCTGTCACTTTCTACAGAAACAAAAACTTTAAAGGGCAGGTGGTAGAAAGGAACTTCCATAAGTGAAAATGTATTTACTCCCAGTTTCTTAGCTGAGGCAATTACAAGTTTGGGAAAAATTGGTGTGTTCAGTCTTCCTCAGTGCACAAATTTTGGTAAACAAGTTTTCTTGACTATGTACCTCTCCATCTCTCCAATGGTCAGGTCTGCCAACTTTGCTGGATTTTATTAGTTTTTTTTTTTTTTTTTTTTTTTTGCGCTTTTATATTAGAGTAGCTTGAGGACTTGTACTGTCAGAGTTGCTATTGAAATATGCCCAGTAGCATAAGGAAAGTCCTAAGTCTATCAATTGGAAAACATTTTATCATTAGAAAATATGAATGAAGCTTCTGCTTAACACATGCATGGCGTTGTATGAACACTAATTTTTTTTATACAACTTTAAACCCCAATAGATAACTCACACTCTCAGCAGCCAAATTACTGGAAGTTTTAGAGTTAATGCTATTTTCTCTCTAATTCTAGATTGCATCTGCTCTTGTTTTTAATAAGACAAATTAAGGTCTAAGGCAGCTCTTCTAGCCACAGCATGAAAGATTTTTTTTTTTTAAAGCTTTGATTTTCTAGTCTAATAAAGCCTTGAAGAGCTAGACGTTCTGGTTTTTCGCCTCTCCATGACCCTCTTATTAAACATGGATATTGTACTGTGAGAGACTCTGATATAGGGCTTCAGAAGTTACTGCACCGTAATGTTGCCAAGAGCTATTCCGAGTGCTGAATCTCTAAATTAAAAGGAAATGGCTGAAAACTCACCTACCATATTACTTCCATGTGAAGTTACAGCTGTAAGAAACGTTTTGTTGGAACTCTGATTTAGAGAGACTTTAATTGCTGCTGACGTTTCTGGGAGACAAGTAATTGTTTTCCCTGTAGCCGTGACAAACTAGGACTGCTTCTGCAAACTCTGAGCAGTTTGAAAAACTGAGTGGCTTTGGAAAAATCTCTTCTGTTGTGCCACAGAACTTGCTAAATTTGAAATGCTTTATGTTATAAGACTGCTCTCCTACCTGGGTCAGCATCTGAGGCTCCCCGGCAGATGTCCTTCTTCATTTGTAGGCATCAGCCACCTCAGGCTGCTGTGCTGAGGCAGAATCTGCTTGGACAAGAAGGGAGATATGACTGAAAATGTAAAGAAGAGAGGCAGCAGCACCTGCTCTTGTGGGAAAAATGCGGTTTCATAGGAAGGGTAGCAGCATTTTATCTGTAATCTTCTGCAAATTATTTATCTTCCCAGAAAAAAAAAAAAAAAAGGCGAAAACAAAAAATGAAAATTTTAAAAAAAAAAAAAAAAAAAAAAAACCACCCAACAGATGGGAAGTATTCCTGTACAAAAAATAGAAATGGAGAAAGTGCCAGACCCTTGGAGTGCTGGGTCACTCCTCCACATAGCACTCAGGAGCACCTGAGGCACTTCGGGCCACTTATCTCTATCAAATGTCTCCAATGGTCACTGAACATAGTGTGCAACTAGGAACAAAACAGTTAAAAAAAAAAAAAAAAAGACAGTGAGAACAAGCAGAAAAATAAACAGAAAATAGCATAGAAAAGAGGAAGAACTAAAATGTGAATGCCTCTGGGAGGAAGGAGGATGTGAAGGCAGGCAGCCCAGGTTTCTGGGTCTGCAGGCAGCAGCTGCCCATGCAAATTGCACAGAGGGTGCTCTCAGTTTTTAGTTCTGAACATATACTGGTTGTCAGTTCACTGCAAACCTGTTCTACAGCTGTGAACAAGTTTGTCTGTATATACAGGGAGTACCTAAAAGGGTGAAAATGAAGTAACTTGTGCCTGACTTCAGGAGGAACATATCCTGCAGCGTTGGCAGTGAAAACAAACAGTTAAAGCAGAAGTTTGTGCCAGGGTCCTGGAAACTGTCATCATCTAACACAAGAGGATATACAGCTGTCACCTGTGCTGTAGGGTTCAGCCCATGTGAAGATGAGAATGCCATGTTCAGAGGAATCCAGCCTACAAGAAAAACACCACCTCCAAAATCCAGAAAAAGGGGAGCAAAGGTGGCTGGTTTTGCTTGAGAAGATCTTAGTGACAAAGGCAGTTATGACATTTAAAGCCACAGCCCACTGATGCCAGAGCAGCGGCTTTGCAGTTCCCAAGGGACTGCTGCACAGATTAGACATCAGCCACAAAACTATCCAAAAGTGGAAGGACTTGAATTTAATGGGATGACAATTCTTTTATTCTAATCTTCTACACTTGGATTTGCACCTGAGCAAAAAAAGAAAATGCTCTGTCAGGAGCCAGTTGGAATAGGTAACTGGGTTTTGGGGATGCTCCTGGTCTGAACGCAGGGCTTTGAAAGATCAAATTCAAGGAAACAACCCTCAGCTTCCACTCAGCAAGTGCACAGGGTAAGGATACAGAGAGTGAGCTGAACGTGCCAAAAAGTAAGGAGATCTCCAAGTGTGTCCTTGGAAGCAGTGCTGCCCAAAGACAGGTATGGAGTAAGGACATGTAAATTGAAGACTAATGGGGACACAGGCCCTTCAGCATTTACCACCTTATGCTCCAAACTGCACGTGATAGAATTCCAGGTGGTGTACAAATGTGAAGAGGATTTTCCTGGACCTTTTCCTGCAGTGAATTCCCCAAGCAGGTTTTTAAACCCTGATTCATTGAAATGCAAACCGCACTGTTTACAATCACGTATTGAGAAAGCACAAAGGTTCTGGGGCTGCAACCCAGAAAGAGACAGCAAAGAATGGAGATCTACTGGAGGGTCTACATTATGTGGAAGGCAGTAAGCATACAATCAAGTGTTTCTTCAAGTACCTGTAAGATTTCAATTATGATTAGTATTGTAAATATTTGCCCAATTAGTTCTCCATCTTTTTAGCTGGCTTTTGTTTCTTTGCTTTTTTTTTTTTTTTTTTTTAAAGAAGTTTCCTGTACTAATTAAGCTCAAAATATTGGCTGCATGGCTGGTTTTCAACTCCTTCCTTCCTTTCTTCCATGCTGCCTTTCTAAAGAGACCTTCACAGGATCTTCACTTTATAAGACTGGTAATTAGCTGAAGCTTTGCTGAGCATGTGGAAATCTTCTGAGTAAAGTCATTATAATAGAGTTTAATGTTTCAGCCTATTGCTTTCATTTGCAAGATTATTGGCTTGATAAAAGAAACAGATTTTGACAATGCAGTGGCTGTAGATACTTGAGAAATTGTGTCTGAACTCTTTTTTTAGTTAAGCATATAGTACAACCCCTTATTTAAGGAGCACTATGGCATTTCAGATGGGAAGTCCAGGCAGATGGTGAAAAGCAGAAATCGCTCAGTTTACACAATAAAGCACACTGTCACCATTTGCATCATTACCAATTTTTGCGAGTTCAAATTTGTCTATGGTTTATAGAGAGGAGAAAAAGAAATACTCTTCTCTGCTCTTCCTGGTGGTATTTGAGAGAAGCTGTGGTGCCCCATCCCTGGAGGCACTCAAGACCAGGTTGCACAGAGCCCTGGTCAGGCTGGCTACCACAGTGGGTGGCAGCCTTGCCCACAGCACAGAATGGGGCTGGGTTGGGCTTTGAGGTCCCTTCCAACCCCAACCATTCTGTGCTTCTATTATTCTTTGAGATGTTAGTTCTAAATTTAAAGAAGAAATTCAGTGTTATTAATGAAAGCACAAGTTTCACAGTGTATTCAGCTTCCTCCTATGGAAAGTGCAGTTTCAGAAAGGTAATCCATTCCAGGCAAGTCAGGCATCTGCCAATGCAGCTGTCCACATAAGCAATTTAAAGCAGAATACTTTGATAAAGTAGGTAATAAGCTGCTGCTGGAATAGGCATGGTAACAAAGAAAAAAAGTGGGTATGTTTGCAATAAGAGCCAGTTGATGGGAAAGGCAAACAAGTGGTGAATGAGTTAGAGCCCCTGGCAGGGGCATACCAGGTGTTAATGTGCTGCAGGGACTGAAGTGTCTTTTGAACCAAAAAAGGTCTGAAAGTCCGGCCAGGATAGGGATGGCTGTCTGCTTAACTTCCACCATAACCATCTGATGATGTGAGAAGATGAAACATCAATTTGGATTCAGTACTGAAATGTGAATTAAAAATTAATATGCTTTAATTTCCATTAATGATATCTGAGGATATAAATAAGAGTCTGTACACCAGACTTACTTATCTTGATAAGAGTGTAAATGGTGGGAGCCAAAGACAATTTATCAGCACATTTTCTAAAGCCTGTGAATTTCAGATAGGAATTTATTCCAGACATGAAAATCTTAGAGTCCTTATAGCTAAATGAAATAGCTGCGTCCATCAGTAGATTAGTCAAATATTTTTCTGCAAATAATTTTATGACAATTGTAGCTTTTTTCTGCTAGCAAATTATTTACCAACGGGCTATGAATTTTGAATTTGTTCCAAAACCAATAACACCACATTTCTTGCATGTAATTTCTGTCAGCTTGCCACAATGAGTGTTCACTGCTTACTTGTGCCATATGAATATTCATTCAAACTTGCAGTGATGTTTTTCTCTACTGATTCAGCAACAATCATATACACAACTAATTCAAACAGCTGTAATTTTTAAATCCTTGATCTGAAGCCCACCAGGAGCACTACAGCACTGTGAATCAGCTGTCTTTTTATCCAGACATTCTCAGAAGTGTTTGTGTTAATACAATTGATGTTTTGTTCTTGATGAAGCCCCATGAAACCATCATCCTCAACTTTTCTCCTCAGTGCTACAGCACTGAATTCAGATACAGCTTTGTGTAACTGCTGAAGTTTGAGCAATTGATGTCAGTTTAGCATAGACTGGATTTATTACATTCCATTATATGCAAAGCAAATGAAATACAGTATCATAAGGATAATGGGTTGATTATGTGCTGATATTTTAATTGTCCAATTTCCTGATTAGAAAACGCTAATGAATTTCCAAATCAAAACAGATATTAAACTTTTCCATTCTCTGTTGCCTCCTATCCCTACTACATTTGTGTACTTCATTTTGTATTTTAAAGCAAAGAAAGAAGTACACTTGTGTAATACTTTCTGATACTATGTCTTTTTTTATATCACCCAAGCTCACAGAGAAGTCATAAGGCAATTGTGAAGCTTTCCTTGTGATTTTAAGTTGATAATCACATGCACGTAGTCTCACAATAGCCTTTTCAAGAATACTTTCTATCATTACAAACTGTTGATAAATTGATCCACAGATATTGTAAAAGGGTTGTGAGCTTCAAGCATCTCTCTGATAAAATTTTCAGTGTCTTGTGAGTGTCTCTGCAGTGATTCATTTCAAAGTTACTTTCCAGTTCCCAGGATTATTTGAATGGAATAAAACCTGGGAACAGGATGAACGTAAAGGAATGGATGGGGCTTTGAGCAACCTGGTCTAAAGGGAGGTGTCCCTGCCTATAGCAGGGCACTGGAGCTAGATGATCTTAAGGGTCCTTTCCAACCCAAACTACTCTGTGATTCTATGACTGGTAAAACTTTATCTAGGATTATATTTAGCATTGGTACGCAATTGGAATGAAGAGTTTCTCTGTTCAAGATTTGTGTGATAAGGAATATAAAAAACACATTTTTAAAGCAAAGCAAATACATTGCAATTATTGTTTATGTACCTTTAGTCCACCTTATTGGCCCTTTGTTTAAGGGAAAAATCATAAGTCTCAGTCAGGTTCATTGCTATACTCTGCAGATAAAAGGAAACAGTAAGCATGGCTAACAGTAAGCATATCTGAGTAAAGCCTGCCTGAACCTACAGCCTCCTACTTCCCTACTGACAAGAATAAGGAACAAGCTCAATAACAGGAACACAACTGTCCTTCCTGAGCTTGTGTGCTGAGCAGCTCCTGCTATTGAAGTACTCATTCCATCTGTTGGAAGTGTTCCGAGAAGATTCAGTAGCATAGCATACCTCAGTTCTGTCATGTGATTGTACCAACAGATGCAGCAAGCTAACAACCAGCTCACATGGTCCTTTCAATTAACAACTGCACTGATTGTTTCTTGGCAGCTTTTTTTCTATAAATAGTAATTACACAGTAGTTAATCTTCAAAGTAGATTTTTCTAACCTCTTGGAATGCCTATTTCTGTGCAGGTGATGTGAGACCTCTACGAAGTGCTAGAAAAAAGCAAAACAAGCTACAGAATAAAAGACAGGCTTCTGTCTTCTTGCAATTATACCAGAATGTCCAGAACTTCTTGAGCTTCATAACTGATCATTTCGTAGGGCTTTATCAAAACCCTGTGAACAGCTTTAAGCTCAGGCTCAGACCTACAACTGATAGTTTCTCTGATCTGAATGTGATATCTTGCCAAAAAACAGGATTTTAAAATTATGGAGTATAAACAAGCAAGATAAAATTAGGCTGCCTACATTGCCATGCAAAGATATTTCCCAGGATCAGGCTTCCCAAGTCCACATACGGCTCCCAACAGACATTGCTCAAAAACTCACTGCAGACCTCCCCTGCTGCTTCTGTACAAGGTTCTCATTTTGGAAAGGAACCAGGATGTGGTAGTGTCTTCCTGCTATGAAGCAGGAGAGGAGTATACCACAGGGTTGGTGGGTTAGTCCACGTGGTGTGACAGTCGTTTTTCAGTTGTGGAATCAATCCTTGCAAGCTCTGTGGTGCACACCTCTGTCTGTGGCATTATTGTGACTCTGTAGCTAACACACATAGATATTCCAACTGGATTAGGTCATTAACTATATCAGAATCATTATGAACCATCTGCTTAAATAAATACCAGATATGCACACAAACTATGAACATATATTTTCATTCACACGTAATATATATTATTATTTAATAGCGCTCAAATGCTTTAAAAAGGACAGCACTTAGTTTTATTTTCATTTTACCTCTGAAATTCAGCTAAAACATTGTGCCTTTCAATGTTTTGGTTTTAAATAGCCAAAGCATTTGAAAACTACTACACTGCAACGTTAAGAGTTATTTTACCTTTTAATTAATAAAATGAAATGAATAATTTTGCTGATTATTATTATGCTGTAAATAGATATCAAGATGATATGATTAAAAAAAAAGCAAATAAGATTTGATAGAGCAGATCCTGTTCCCAGAGGGACAGAAACCAGAACCTAGAAAAGGAAACAAAGCTATACTGCTTCACGTTGCTCATATAATCAAGTTTAGGACTGACTTCAAGAGATCAGTTCAAAAGGTAAAGCTCTAATAATGGAAAATAAAGTCAGCATTCCAGATTTTTTTATTTATATTCTAACCAAAATCACTAGGCTCAAGTCTTTAATCTCTTATGAAACTTAGGAGAATGAGGAAGGAGAAAGTGTTGCCGCAGTCAGGAGTAAAGTACAGTTAACCTTTCCAGCTTCAAACTGGGCAACTAGGGTGAATCATTTTCTCTCCTGCAAGTTCCTAAACAGCTTCAATTCACACGGCTGCCAAGGCTTTCAACTTCTACCAAACAAAAGCAATAACAATACATGCCCTTGTTTCCTGGATCTGTAACTTCTCCACAAGTGTTTCCATAATAGAAGGCTCTTTTGACCTGCCGAGGCTATCCCTCTTAATACTAAGACCACTGTTCAGACCTCCACAAACCACATCACCTGTAGAGCAGCATGTAGGTACAACACCTCTCCTCACTGATCAAAACAAGAAGTGAAGGCTCTGTCAGGTTGGCTTCTCCTGGCAATTTAAAACCAGTGACAGTTGCTAGACCCAGAAGGAAGACATTTCCCTTAAAAAAAATGAAGTCTTAGTAGTACATGTAAGCTTCCTTCCAAAAGAAAGGAAAAAAACCTGATAATGGGCATGATCTACAATGTAGTGCTTGCATATTATAATTGCATATTTCATAGGAAAATACACCCCTTACCATACAAATAATTATTTGACTGAGTTACTGATCACTGACAGAGAGCTGTGCCTAGAGCTAAGTAAATAGTTATTTCTTCAATATTCAGAAAACAGGAATCTCCCAAGCTGGTTAATGCTCAAATAACGAATAGTTTGAGACAAAGTTTTTTTCTTAAGCTTAATACTGAAAAATCCCAGTCTCGGGCCAAGTTCAAGATCTCAGACAAGAACTACCCACACCAAGAGGATGTTACCTGTTGCTTCTATAATACACTTTGTATGTCAAAAGAAGTACCACTTGGTTAGCCTGAAAGCCATAAGAATCAACAGAGAAAGTTGCTTTACTGAACTGTGTCTAACATTATAATTAAGATAACATACAAGCAACAAAGGAAAACACCACCATGTTAAAATACACTCAACTAAGTTGCGTCCAGACCAGGTTTCTACAGTTCTTTCGTTTTCTACTTATGTGCCTTACCAAGTAGGACAACATTTCTGTAACACAATGGAAAGCACAGCAACAACAGCAGAATAGAGGAAGGTCCCAGGCTGCAGCAAGTGAGGACTTGCTCAAATACAATAGTCACAAGCACAGAAAGAAGCTGCTTACCTTCAGAAAATCTCAAACACACAAGGATCACCAACAAGACACCCTTGCTTCCACTGCCAACCCTTAAATGATGTCTGGGGAGGGGTTGATCCTGGCTCCGCTCTTTTCAGTCACTCAGGCACATTGCATGCAGCTGAGCTCCTCTGGGTTGGCCCTGCCTTCCCACCAGGGGCTCAATTGCTGGTTCAAGCCCTGACTTAGCATTTCCACTACAGTTATGAAATGGGAATGTCATGCAAAAATCTTTGAGGCTAAATATGGTGTCTATCATTTGGGTTCTTGGGAGTGAATGCAATCACCTTTGGAGCAAATAAATAAATAAATACATACATACATATACATACATACATAAATAAATACTGTTTTGACAGGAATCTCCATTGATTTATCTGGAAATGATGGAGGAAAGGAAACTGGTACATGCTCACCCTCAGAGGACAGTCATATTTTGCAATGTAAATACTGAGTCAGAAGTTAAGGCTCTGATCCTGGAAATAGTTTGCAGCCCCTGGCACCTTCATGCCTATGACTGATCCCACAGAGCTGTGGGTCTCTTCATGTAAGCTGTGGTACTTACATGCAGAAATGCCTTCAGGATCAGGCCCTGATGATCAGTGGTAGTCTCAGGAAAAGTATCCATAATTCTAGTTTCTCAGATATAGACAAGCTTTTTTTGTTCTTCTTTTTTAGAATGCATCTTATTTCATTTCCTCCTCACTGACCCTGAAAGCTGTTTCATTTTCATATTATGTCAGATCTGCATGTCTTCTTGGAAAAACCTAAGTGTTTTCAAACTGGGAGGGCTCAGAGACTCTGTTTGCTGGTTAAAACTGGAAAATGTCAACCTTGATTTTAGTCATTTAAAAATTAAGTTCTTATACACCTCTGTTGCTGTTGTTGTTGTTAAAATATTCTAGTATGCCTCCAAAATCTCCTAAAAGTGAAATTAACACCTGGTGCTGGAACTCCATGCCAACTTTTATCCTCACAGCAATGCACATTTTAGCCTGAATTTCACCTTAAAATGAAATGGCAGAGGGGACAGCAGTGATTCAAGACCTGTCAGGTTATGCTTACCTGTCAAGTTTCTTTCTATCATCTGCCAACTAATTAAGGTAACCTTGTCACAGAATTCAATTAACACTCAAGTGATATGACAGAGCGTTAGATGTCCTGGTTAGAGGTTAGTCCATTTCTCACTTCTTGGCTGCAAGTGACTGCTGCATACACGCTTTCTTCCGCCCCACTGAAATTATTTTCTATTGCAACCCTGAGATGATTCAAACTTGATTAATCCTTCCTCTAGTCTTTGGAGAGCCTTTTTTTCTGCTTTCTTCTTGAATTTTATGCTCAGTAGCCAGACAGAACAAGAATTGCACAGTAGGAGGTGCTCAAGTAGCAAAAGCACAGGAAAGTGAGTCCTGTGGATATGGTATCTAGTTTCTTCACCTTTAGCAGATATACTGTGCATCCATCAGCAGTGTGATTGAAGACATATTCCATGAAAAAAAGGTGATTTTTAGTGAATTTTGTCAAAAAGAATCCACTTTTGCAAGTGAGATTTTCTGAGAAAATCTGATCATGAACATTTGAAATTTTGAAGCACTAAGCATTTTACAATTTATTTTTTTTTAAGGATTAGTAAGCTTACTTCCATGCTTTGCTGTAACTTGATTTTTCATTTATATAGCAGCATGTTTCTTCTTAGAGATGTTTGGAGCAAAGGAAGCATTTCTATCTAGAATGTTCAGAAGGTAAGTGACTGATGGTTTGGATGGCTTCACAGAAGATAAAGCCTCTCATCTGAGCACATGTTATTCCAAAGGGAATTAATAAGGTTCGGTGTGTAATTCTACTTCTAAGCCACTTCAGAAAAACCAGACAAATCCACTGAATGGCTGAGAATATATCCTAGTGCGCACATGTGATGTCCATTTTCCAGCTGATTTTAACAACATCTGAGTTGTGTTCAACACAATTAAGGCAAATGGGATATCCTGGGAATTACAGTAAGATTTTTGGAAACAGTGCAAAAAGAACTTGGTACTACTACTAGAGATAAATTGTATGATGAAGTTGTCTTGTTTGTGAAAAACTTTAGTAAAATAATCTGTTAGGTTGGAAAGACAGTACAATTGCTTGAACAGTGAGAATATGACAAGCAAAAAAAGAAGCCAAAGAAATAGTGTCAGCTAGAATTGGAGTTAGCCGTGAGTTTTATAACTCTCCAGGGAGAGGAGGACTCAAGCAATACAAAAAAATCACCTGCAACCTCATCCAGACAAGAGAACAAGTAATAAGGGATACAAACACACTTGCTTACGTTAAAAGTAAAGGTATTTTGGAAATGAATGCTGAATTAATTAGCAGTGCTTGGAGCAATTATTTTGCAAGAGTATCATGTGAAGAGAATGCAAAGGAGGAGTTAAATCATGCAAATCCAAATGGGATAAGATTGGTCGTATTTACAAGGAGCTAATCATAAAGGCAGATAGAGAACTGAAAGTGAGGGAAATATCTTGAGGAAGTGTGGATACACTTGGTGAAGTGATTTGTTATGGAAGGCATGTTTGACTGCTTTTGTAAGTCACAGAAAGTAGTAAACAAGTGTTATAAAAGCTTTGCAGAGCATATATTTAAATGTGGAGAAGTATTGAGCTCAGCACAAATTATACAAGTGAAATGGTGCTGCGGAATATGAAGACTTGCGACAGATTTCTGAAAGCATCTGGAGAGACTGAAATGTAGAAGTGTTAAACAGTTTCATAGTAGGAGAGAATGGAGTTAACAGAAAGCTTGCTGTGTGTATTTTCTCTGAAATTTAGAGAAAAGAGGCAGTTACTGTTTTTTGTAGGAGTAGAAAAGGCCAATGTACATGTAATGAGAATGACCAAGCTGTTTTGGAGGACCCTGTATATGCTGCCTCTGCCTAAAAAATGGTGCTCAAAAGTGAGTAAATATCAAGGAGACTACCACAGAACATGCAAAATCTTGTGATGCTGTCTTAGCTAAACTTTACCAATGGCAGTGCTTTCTTACACAGGCATGAGTTAGAGCAATTGCAAGACTGAAGCCTTGATAGATGGTGAAAAGTATTCTCCTCAAAGGAGAGCAGAGGACAAGATCTTAGACGAAGCAGTTCTAATTTCTTTCCAATTTCTTTTTTATTGTACCACAGGTCCATGGTGTGACCGTATGATTTCAAGAGTCTTGGATAGTTGCATTGCGGGAAATCATCATGCTTTAGTTCCTGGAAATTCAGTTGATGACATTTAGAAGTCAATCTATTTAGTTGAACAAATTGTTCTTTGCTCTGTGAAAGACATAAGGGAGAAACAGGGGATTTTAGTGCAGACTCCAGTCTAAGTCATACTGGGAAAAAAAAATTAAAGCTGAACTTTGCTAGTAAGAATCTCAGCACAGTATTAACAGGATACTCCTAATATGACAGTGAAGAGACAACTGTAGGAGAGACTACTGACTTCACGTTCAGACAGGATTTACCAGGAACTAACTTTGCAGGAGATAGTTGGCAACAGACATGGTAAAGAAACCTCCAGATGTCAGTAACTGCATCCAAGGAAAACTGCAAAAAAAGAATTTACCTGATTTTTGCCTCTTCTTAAAATGTCTGTCATTATGAAAAAAAGTGCTGAAGCATTTGGGAATACAAAACACAGTGAAAATGAACTAGGCACCTCCTGAAACATGGACAAATAACCTATCTTGTACATGTTCAGTTTTGCTCATCTTTTCACAGGAAAAGAGTAACCTGCATGTGTATAAAGTATATGTATATACTGATACTAGAGCATGTCTTTGGTTCTCCTGCTTCACCTTTTATGGAAGTCAAAAGGCTTTGTTCCAACACCTTCTATGCTCAAGTTTAGAACTACATCAATCTGATTATGGCCATGAGTTAGGTAGCATGTTAAATCCTTCATATAATAGAGTGGAGTGGAGTGGAGTGGAGTGGAGTGGAGTGGAGTGGAGTGGA